GTGGAGTTGAGTATATACAGAAGCTGAGGATACAGGACTGCAGCTGGCATGATTCGTTCGGGTCGGCAATATCGTATCGTTAAGCTCTAAACGGGCGAAGAATCAGAGGAAATTACTAATAAAATGATGATTTCTGGTTAATTTTTGATAGGGAAAAGTGCAGATAATTACTAAGAAAGGGATGGAGGAGAGTTTTTTTTTTCCTTACCTCCCCGATCCTAACTTGGGTATAAATATTCTGACGTTTCACTTTTATTTTTAGGATAACATTGAATTTGGCCACTTAAAGGCCATTGCCTAGGGAAGGTAATTTAAAAGTTCTAATATGCTATAGTATTTATACAAATGCTTAGGGTTGATTTCAGAAAACCCCCTGAATTTTGGAGGATGTTGCTAAGACCCTCCTAGACGTTATTATTCCCCTCAACCCCGATGCATTTTAGGGTTATTGCACGTGACTCTTCTGAACTTATTTATCCACTACTTAATGTCTCCTGAAAATTTCTCATTCAATATCTAACTTTTCAAAGAAAAATATAATCTTCAAATTAATGTCATAAACTCTTGGGAAAAATGTGTCCAGGCCCCAAAAACAGAAACTTCATGTGCTGCAGCCCCTCCTACTTTCCCCCATGTGATTCAGCCCCTTGAAGTGTGACGTTTTGTGCTGCAGCCCCTTTTTAACAATTATTGCATGCCAACTAAGCTAAAATCCCCAAAACAACCTTATCCCCTCTCCTCAATCCTTCAAACCCAGCTCTCTCTCTCTCTCTCTCTCTCTCTCTCTCTTTAAAAACAAGGGTTTTCTTAAGCTCGTCGCTCTGGCCCTCGCCCTCCTCGCCGTCGCCACCTCCGCCCAGGCTCCCAAGCCTCCCCCGAGTTCGTCGCCGCCTCCCCTCCTCTCCTCCGCCCGACCTCGTCGCGGTAGCTCGCCGTCGCTCCCCATCTCGCCCTCGACTACGCCGGAGTTCGTCGCTGTGCCTGCCACTTTTGAACCCATAGTATGATAGGCCGGAGGAGGATGACCAAGAGAAAAGAGTGCACGATGCCCAAGAAAAGTGAAAATGAAGGGGACAGAATAGAACTAACATTGTGCAGATTAGAACTAACACTGTAGACAGAATAGAACTAACATTGTAGACAGAATAGAACTAACATTGTAGACAGAATAGAACTGTAGACAGAATAGAACTAACATTGTAGACAGAATAGAACTAACATTGTAGACATAATAGAACTAACATTGTAGACAGAATAGAACTAACATTGTAGACAGAATAGAACTAACATTGTAGACAGAATAGAACTAACATTGTAGACAGAATAGAACTAACATTGTAGACAGAATAGAACTAACATTGTAGACAGAATAGAACTAACATTGTAGACAGAATAGAACTAACATTGTAGACAGAATAGAACTAACATTGTAGACAGAATAGAACTAACATTGTAGACAGAATAGAACTAACATTGTAGACAGAATAGAACTAACATTGTAGACAGAATAGAACTAACATTGTAGACAGAATAGAACTAACATTGTAGACAGAATAGAACTGTAGACAGAATAGAACTAACATTATAGACAGAATAGAACTAACATTGTGCAGATTAGAACTAACACTGTAGACAGAATAGAACTAACATTGTAGACAGAATAGAACTAACATTGTAGACAGAATAGAACTAACATTGTAGACAGAATAGAACTAACATTGTAGACAGAATAGAACTAACATTGTAGACAGAATAGAACTAACATTGTAGACAGAATAGAACTAACATTGTAGACAGAATAGAACTAACATTGTAGACAGAATAGAACTAACATTGTAGACAGAATAGAACTGTAGACAGAATAGAACTGTAGACAGAATAGAACTGTAGACAGAATAGAACTGTAGACAGAATAGAACTGTAGACAGAATAGAACTGTAGACAGAATAGAACTGTAGACAGAATAGAACTGTAGACAGAATAGAACTGTAGACAGAATAGAACTAACATTATAGACAGAATAGAACTAACATTGTGCAGATTAGAACTAATACTGTAGACAGAATAGAACTAACATTGTAGACAGAATAGAACTGTAGACAGAATAGAACTAACATTGTAGACAGAATAGAACTGTAGACAGAATAGAACTAACATTCACTGTAGACAGAATAGAACTAACATTGTAGACAGAATAGAACTAACATTGTAGACAGAATAGAACTAACATTGTAGACAGAATAGAACTAACATTGTAGACAGAATAGAACTGTAGACAGAATAGAACTAACATTATAGACAGAATAGAACTAACATTGTAGACAGAATAGAACTAACATTGTAGACAGAATAGAACTGTAGACAGAATAGAACTAACATTATAGACAGAATAGAACTAACATTGTAGACAGAATAGAACTAACATTGTAGACAGAATAGAACTAACATTGTAGACAGAATAGAACTAACATTGTAGACAGAATAGAACTAACATTGTAGACAGAATAGAACTAACATTGTAGACAGAATAGAACTAACATTGTAGACAGAATAGAACTAACATTGTGCAGATTAGAACTAACACTGTAGACAGAATAGAACTAACATTGTAGACAGAATAGAACTAACATTGTAGACAGAATAGAACTGTAGACAGAATAGAACTGTAGACAGAATAGAACTAACATTATAGACAGAATAGAACTAACATTGTAGACAGAATAGAACTAACATTGTGCAGATTAGAACTAACACTGTAGACAGAATAGAACTAACATTGTAGACAGAATAGAACTAACATTGTAGACAGAATAGAACTAACATTGTGCAGATTAGAACTAACACTGTAGACAGAATAGAACTAACATTGTAGACAGAATAGAACTAACATTGTGCAGATTAGAACTAACACTGTAGACAGAATAGAACTAACATTGTAGACAGAATAGAACTAACATTGTGCAGATTAGAACTAACACTGTAGACAGAATAGAACTAACATTGTAGACAGAATAGAACTAACATTGTGCAGATTAGAACTAACACTGTAGACAGAATAGAACTAACATTGTAGACAGAATAGAACTAACATTGTGCAGATTAGAACTAACACTGTAGACAGAATAGAACTAACATTGTAGACAGAATAGAACTAACATTGTGCAGATTAGAACTAACACTGTAGACAGAATAGAACTAACATTGTAGACAAGAGAGAGAGAGAGAGAGAGAGAGAGAGAGAACTGGGTTTGAAGGATTGAGGAGAGGGGATAAGGTTGTTTTGGGGATTTTAGCTTAGTTGGCATGCAATAATTGTTAAAAAGGGGCTGCAGCACAAAACGTCACACTTCAAGGGGCTGAATCACATGGGGGAAAGTAGGAGGGGCTGCAGCACATGAAGTTTCTGTTTTTGGGGCCTGGACACATTTTTCCCTAAACTCTTCAAGATTCAAGAAAAGACTTCATTTTTTGGGGGGTGGGGGGTTATGTCAAAATAGTGCATGTAAGAAAAAAATAGACAATCTATCTCCTTTTATGTGAAAAGCATGAGATAAAGACAGACGAAAATCCTTAATAAAAATTAAGCTGTAAATGGAAAAGAATGATAATAAGGATACCATGAATAAGCTAGGGATAAAAGGATTTTTTTTTAAAAGACCTTTCTAAAAACTTTATTAGCAAAATCTACTTTTTGTAGTTCAAAATTAAATCCACAAAAGGTCTATTTTCGTTTGTTTATATCTCATGTATGTTCATGGTCAGATTCTATACATAAATTTTTTGAAGTTCCAAATTAAATCCAAAAAAGGTCAATTAGATTTTGAAGAAGTAAAATAAAAAGTTAGGTTAGAAGAACTAGCTAGAGCTCGAAACTTATTCCACAGTTTAAAATCAATAATTTATTAAATTAAAATAAAAACTGATGAG